AGGGAGGAGGGATGGGATGGAGGGATGGGATGGAGGGAGGAGGGACGCAGGGAGGGACGCAGGGATGCAGCATGGAAGGACCAGGGATGCGGGGATGGGATGGAGGGAAGGATGCGGGGATGGGATGGAGGGAAGGATGCGGGGATGGGATGGAAGGAGGGACGGGATGGAGAGAGGCACGGAGGGAAGGTTGGAGGGAAGCAGGATGAAGGGATGGATGGAGGAATGCAGGAAGGGGTGCAGGGATCCAGGATGGAAGCACCGAGAGAGGGATAGAGGGATGGAAGGAGGGAAGATTGCAGGGATGTAGGGATGGAAGGATCAAGGGATGGAGGAAGGAATGGAGCACGGGGGCAGGTGACTGCAATAACACAGGTAGGTGTGCAAGTGAGCGTGCAAGAGCGCGCGCACGACCCCGCACACAAGTGTGTGTGCAAGAGCGCGTGCATGAGCCAGTATCCGTGCAAGGGCGCTCGTGTGGCCAAGTGTGCAAGACGCATGTGACTCGCCCGCACACACCTGCACGCACTCGTGTGCAAGAGCGCGTGCAAGGCCACGTGCATCTGTGTGCACAACAGTGCGGAATCACCCAGGTGGCACACGTACAACCGCACACACAAGCGGACATGAGCATGCACAAGCGCACACAAGTGCATACAAGCATGCACAAGTGTGAACAAGCATGCACAAGTGTACAGGAGTGTGCACAAGCACAGACAAATGCACAAGCACACACAAGTGCATACAAGTGTGCACAAGTGTGCACAAGCATGCACAGGTGTACAGGAGTGTGCACAAGCACAGACAAATGCACAAGCACACACAAATGCACAAGCACACACAAGTGCATACAAGCATGCACAAGTGTGCACAAGTGCAGACAAATGCACAAGGACACCCAAGTGCATACAAGTGTGAACAAGCATGCACAAGTGTACAGGAGTGTGCACAAGCGCACACAAATGCACACAAGTGCATACAAGCATGCACAAGTGTGCACAAGCATGCACAAGTGTACAGGAGTGTGCACAAGTGCACACAAGTGCATACGAGCATGCACAAGTGTGAACAAGCATGCACAAGTGTGCACAAGCATGCACAAGTGTACAGGAGTGTGCACAAGTGCACACAAGTGCATACAAGCATGCACACATGTGAACAAGCGTGCACAAGCAT